CTGATGTTATTATAAACACTGCTGGGTCTTATCCTAGTTCAACCACCATATTCAATATCTGCAATATCCTGCCTGCTACAACTCACAATGGATTAGATGCAAGCTTAATTTTTAAATGTGAAAATGCCTAGTTAAACAAATGTATACAAAATGTGCCTGGTTCTCCTAATATGATAAGTTCAAACATGGTGGAATTATGCTGTGAACTTTGGGTTGGTTGAACTTCAGGTTAGCTATAATTGATAGTTATAGCTACTCTCAGATGACTTATTTAATTAATAGGTTGAATTAGACATTTGGTTAAGCGATTCTAAATATTGATCATTTTATGAGTCTAGTCTTAAAGAAGTTAGGTAGAACGTACAAAGAATAACCAGCAAACTCCTTGGCTCTACACAGATTCAGATGATGCGATGATGTTGACAGAGTGTCACTATAATCATCTACACTAACCCATGGATAACACATTTCAGCAAACTAGTTTAAACTGGCTGACTGTATGCTACCTGAACATCACTTCAGCAGAGACAAAGTTAACAAGTGTCTGCTTAAAAATGTGGTAGCTATGAGACATATGTTGATCAGGAGTCGGTGGAGACCAAAACAGAGCTACAGTAAAATAAGAAGTAATACTGGACACTAACACTAGACAGGAGGCCAGATAGCATTACTTACATTCATTTCTGAATGTAAACATTTCTAACAGTAGACATCATGACAGGTTCTGTTTGATTAAATTGGAATTCCGAAAAAAGCTTTGTCTGATATAGTACACTAAAATATCTTTGGATTTTGAACCCACTTGAAAATGTCATCTTGGGCCTTAGGGATCTGCAATAGCTTGTAAACGTATTTAACTTAATGACTAATCATTGAGAAATAAATCAAAACAATTATCAAATTAGCATAAGTTTCAGACACCGACTCAGTTATTATTATTGCCAAAGGGTGAGGGTTGTTTTCAGCGTTCAGGTCCTAGCAGGTACCATTTGCAAACTTTGCCCTAGACAACTTTCTCAGCTGTAGCGTTACTACAGTTCCTGCAGTGTGAAGGCAAACCATCATTTCAGGCTACCTCCAGCAGGACAAAATGCCATTGGTTGTGTTGCCCCGAGAAGAGAGCCGGGATAAAAGCAAGGCTGGCCTGATCCACTACCCAGCCTGATCCACTACCCAGCCTGATCCACTACCCAGCCTGATCCACTACCCAGCCTGATCCTGGCTAATGTCCGGTTGCAGGAAAGTGGAATCATGAATTAAATAGGACTGGGGCTGACCCAGCAATGGGAGATCCAAAGCTTTTGTGCCACATCTTGCAGAGACCTGGCTCCATCATGGCATCCCGGAGAGGGCTGTTAAATGAGCGGAACGTGTTCTGCACCAACAAGCCAGGAAAAATGCCTTCCGCTGGGCAATCCTGTGACAATTAATGAACCTCAAACCAGTGTGAAGCTCTTTGTTATACCTTCATTTCATTCTGGCTGCTATGTTCTGAGAGGATGTCATTCACCACAGACCAAATATACATTGTTTAGGAATCACCATTCGTTCTCTTTTCTTTAATTTAAAAGCGTTACCATTTGTGTTATTGCAGGAAGACTCGCAAACGCTTATTAGGTATTAGCTTGATATGTCATGCGACTGTGAAGCCGCAGATTCCACACATCTTCATTTTCAAAAGATTAGATCCATGGCAAGACTATGTCTGACAACCATCATGACCAGTTTGGTGAATCAGCAAGCACTGTCACACACACATCAGCGAGCTTTGCTGCATCTCATAGCTGATATAACGTCTGTCTGGCATAACTACCAGGTGTCTCAGTGAAACTAAGAGCACCTCATTACCCACATACTAGACATTACCACAACGACACCCACCTGGGTGCTGCAAAAACATGTATTCAAGACTAAATATCTACAATGGGCCTATAGAGGAGCTAACCCAACAATTACAGCTAAATGAACAACTAAATGTCACCATGAGCCAAGGTGATGTCAGCAGCTGTTCAATGTGGCCATGACTCAAAGGCTGGTTCAAATGAACTCATCCTTTCTATGATCATTTATCTGACATCCCTGTAGAATGTATGACTTTTCTATCTTAAATTAACATAAAAGATTCTCCTTCAGAATATGACACGTCCTTAGATATGCCAACAGTAACTTATTCTTGCTTAAAAGTTTTTTTACGGCAGTTACTTTTACACAACATTTTACTTCAACAGAAATTCCAACAGTTTACTGGTTCAAGCTTCTTAATATATTTAAGAAATACAAACATGTGCTTGTTCTTAAATCCTCTGGGACAAAAAATAAATAAAAACCTTATACAGCTCCAATCATGCAAGATGCAGTTGAAGGCTCCAAAAGAGCCAGTAAGTTTTATTTTTCAAATATACTGTTTCAAAGGTAGAAGACAAGCTTCCATGTTCTAACATATTTGTGTGAAATAACGTCTGCCACACTTAAAGCCACTTGGCCTTATTTGAATCATAGGTTATTATTAGTGATTGAGGTTCAGAATTAAAATAGTTCCAAGCAGAAAAAACCACATGTATGGCTTCATTCGACTAAGCCATGGAAGTAATCAAGCATCGACAACAGAGAGGCAAGACCCTGGAACTGGAACTCAAAAAAGGAAATGCAGCCATTATTAATGTAATTATGAACACCTTTGCATTCTCTGCTATGTCATGTCAACATGTCTGCCATGGAAACATCCACGCAGCCCTGTCACAAATGGCAGGTGGAAGTATAGCATTAATGAGGGCTGTGTTCCTTTAAAGTACAACTGTAAGTGTGCCAGTATGTACAACAGCCATATTGAATTAATGGTATTAATAGTTAGTTGTGTTTGACAAACCAAAATGTCCACTGTTCCAAAGGCTTCATACAGCTTGACACTAACCTGTTCCTCATTCTTGTGGGGACTCCAACAAACTCTGTGCCACTAGGACCCCTATAAGATAACAGTGTACAAACCATTAACTGAATTCCTATATAAGGAGAGGACGTAGCTACCATGGCATCACCCTAGGTCTGTGGAATACAGTGTGTTTGTTTTTTTACAGCCTGCAGTTTGGCATTTTGGCCATAGCCATCTTGGTTTTTGGAGCCATAAGTAACACGAGATGAGGCCACGTAAAACTGAAAGCTGAACAACAACACTGACATTTTTAGGCAACCAAAATATTACAATTAACTTTCATGAACCCAAAACAAACGGTTGTTTGTTTAAACATTTAATGCAAAAGGGTTATTTGGTCAGAAGAAGCCCCTCCAGATCCATCAAGGACAGACATCTTTTTTCACAGGCACAGTAATACATATTCTGATTAAACTGTACATATATGAGTGTCCCTTTAAACCTAACAACATCAACCACAGTTGTATCTTTTACTGACCTGCAAAGCCGGATAACATTAGTTTATCCAAGAACCTGTGCTTGAATAAACACATCCTAATCAGGTGCATTACCAAAGTATGAATTGTATTCATCACCTCCATAGTCATTAGGGTTGGGTTGCTCCAGCGGCAGGTGCCTGTGTGTGTTTCCGTGTGTTCAAGGCCTTGTCTTCCCACAGGGCCTAGACCTGGGTTGTTATGAGCAGATGGTCATAATTACCAGAGCACGGAGAGCAGTGACGGAGGATAGGGGGTGCTGCTTTAAATCCCTGTATAGCCAGATTGATTTCAGCAACCTGGATGGGGTAATCCTATTTTCAACAAGGCGAGGGCAAGGTAGTTCCCTGTAATCCACAGTGTCATCCACACCTACTTCACTCTTCAGTTTTACTCTCTGTTGGTGTTCTCAAGCTCTCTCTACAATGTCCTGGGCAATTTAGCTCAACTACAATCAGATTCTGAATCGAGTTTATCGCCAGGTACGTTTACACATGCAAGGAATTTGCTTTCGTGTATAGTGGTGCAAAAATAAATAACATAAGGAAATAAGTTGTAAGAGGTCAAAAATATAACGATCATAAAAAGAAAATATTAAAAAATATATATATTTAACAAAATACAAAAAATTAGGAAAAGTATTTACACCAAATATAAAAATATAAAAAGAAACAAAAAAAAAGGAATGTCCAAAATATGTATCCAGATTAACATGAACTTGGCTCACAGTGTTAAAAAGAACAATGTGTTGTTTACATGGTGTGCATGAAATGCATAATGTTGATAGGAATGCTTAGTATAGTGTCAGTGGGGATGAAGTGAAAGGCACACATTGAGGGGCTGGTTGCTAGAAGGTTGCCATGTGGTTTCACTATTGGCTCAGAAAATACTGAAAAACTACAAAAAAACACTGTAAAAGCCAAGAAAGTAAGACTGTGAATAACACGATTTCTGGAGAACTAAGCTTTTAGTAAAACCAACAAGACCTGACCAACACAAATTAGCAATGTAGACATGTTTCAGCGGCTAATGAGAGCTGCCTGTATGTGAGGAAGAGGAACTCAGTCTGGCTTTTTTTTTCTTTTAAGTCCACTTTAAGAGAGCACGCGACGCTTCTTTTAAAAGCTGGAACTTTATGTGAAATTTTAAATAGAGTAGTTTATATGCTGCCTTGTTTACACCTTAAACGAAACCTCCAGGCAAGGGAAATTCTTTTTTAAAAAACTGAGGCATATGCTAACACTGAGCTAAAACTGCAGTTTGCTGAAAGAAGACTCATGGGGCGTTTTTTAAAGATTCTTACTGATTTAAAAACAGTTTGACAGGGTATCTACGTGCCGAAATAATAGGGATGTTGTGATACTGAAAGAAGACGTAATTCATAATTTACGAGGTGTACCGTTGTGACAGTCAGCAGGGGAACAGCAGGCTACGGAGTTACTGAGGGAGTCTTGTGAAACGTGTCGGGCTGAGGAAGGGTTATCCGTTAGAAGAAAGAAGCAGGTGGCGATAAAACAAAAGACGGTGCTCATTATAACAGCTAGCTTGCTCGTGCTGCTTTGTTAGTTGAATAAAACACTGCAATGCAAACTGACCTGCATGTGTGATGTCGGACAGGTCGTAGTTCCTGGCACTGCGGGGAAACTCCTTCAGTTTTCGGTTGGACAAGTTGAGAGCCCCGCTAGCAGCAGCCTCCTCCAGCGCCTTCTCCACGCTCCGGCTGGCCGCTACGGTGGCAGGCAGCTGGGCTCCATCCCCAGCAGCCATCAAACCTCCTCTTTTACTTTGTTTCAGGCGTCCGCTCCACTTTCATTCCCCGAGTATTGTCATAAACTCCAACCTGAGAACGCTTCCTGTAAACTTCTTTAAAAGTACAACGTAAAATCCGAGGAAAGGTGGCGCGCCGTGAGTTGTGATAGCGGCTCTCACACAACGGGAGCTATCGTTTCCACTCGTAAAGGAGAGCGATTCAAGCTGTCAATCTTTCAGGAAGTTGCGTCAAGCTGGCACATTTCGCAACAATATTACAGGAACACCATCATTTTCCTTCAAAGTAAAAGTCCAACATTTTCCAATTAAAGAGAAACAGAAAATCCCTCCTCTGATGATTATAACAGTTTTCATACCTTTTCACAAAATGTACTAAAGCTCTGTACACAGCCCAAAAGCAAATGAAAAAAAACATTAACAACTGAATTAAAGGTCACCTATTACGCAAAATCCACTTGCTCATGTCTTTTCAACATGTGTCCCCTTTGTAAAGACATTCTGAAAGTTTTAGGAACAAAGATTCGCTCACTTTTTGTCCTGACCCATTTACATAAAAACCTGTCTGAAAATTAGCTGATCAGATTTTGGTCACTTTGTGATGTCATAACGTTTTTTTTGTCTTGTGTAACCATTAGCCCAGGGCCGCCCCTCCCTACAGGCCGATCACGCAGACTGCGTGGGGCCTCACCTCGCGGAGGGGGCCTCAGCTTGCGGAGGGTGCTTCATTTTGCGGAGGGTGCTTCATTTTGCAGAGGGAGCCTCATCTGAAGCGCAAATGCGGCGCACCTACAGTGTAACGGCCCGTCCACACAGCGGCGTGCGTTGAAGCTTCAATGCTTCTGCCCATTCATTTTGAATGGGGTGACGTCACGCTTTGCCGAACTGCATTGTGGGAGCGTTGCTTCGCTTTGCTCGCGTTGCTCGCTTCAAAAGTTGAGCAATGTTCAACTTTTGAAGCTTCGGCGGAAGCGTCAGCCAATCATATCATATGCCAGTACAAGCTCTAGCCAATCAAACCACGTGCTTGTGTGTCCGGGGCGGGAGATTCATGTGATTGATTGTTGGTCGAGTTTCAGACAAGCTCACCGGCAAGCTTCAACGCACGCTGCCGTGTGGACGCTGCGTAAGTGCGCCACAGTTTCAGGCTCGACTACCGCCCCCCCCCCCCCCCGTCGATGCTCGCGACACAGAGGGCCTCATCATATAACTTTGCGTGGGGCCACAAGTTGGCCCCCCCCACACCTTATCACCTGAATCTCCTCCTAGAGCACCTTTGTGTTCTTTTTAACCACGCTGTAAGGATACAAAATAGAGATTAGGGAGGGGGGGCTGTTTAAAATAGTTTTTCTCGAATATGTCTTGTGATACTGTAGTACAAAACATTATAATTCGGTCACTGTCTGTAATTTACAGATAAAGTTAAAATTCAGTAGCCTGTGGTTTGGCAAATAACTTAAATATGAGGGAAAATCAGAGCTTCAATATTTTTACAATGAAAAACTATTAATAAAATATGACAATTTTCCTTACTAGCTCTTCAAAGCATTGTCCCCTTTTTCGAATTTTATTTTGACAGTTGCAACCGGAAGTCGTCTGAAACAGTTTTAGTTCTACCTGGTTCTCGGAAGGGTGCAGCCATGGGGACAGCAGCGCGAGGGAGCGACGCTGAAGGGGCGTGTTCACAACGAGAGTAATTCTGACTGACAACCATGGGGGCGGGGTCTGTGCTTGCATATTGAATGCATAATGTCGCCTTTTCTTTTGGGAATTTCAGGAGAAACATAGTTATATTAGTTGTCATACGTACCAATCAGAATGAGCAGTACAGAACCCTTTTGTGTCTTTAATTAAAACACTAACCATCACAAAGTGCAGCCAGGTGATCCAATCAACTTCCCATGAATCATGAATGGAACTCATGTCATGTTAATTGATTTTGTTCAATTGAAGCTTGATCTTTATTATTCATTGCAGTAAAATTAACTAAAGGTTACTTACCCAGAATGAAGTGCCACAGCAAGTGTGTGTTTGTGTGTGCATGAATACATGCACATTTCTGAAAACCCATATAAGGCCAAATGCAGCGTCAGCAGGACTGCAGGGTCCCCCCTTTCCTCTCATGAGGTATAACCCTGATTCTTATTCTTCCATTCTTTCAGGGGCAGATGACTCCCCTCCTACACACACACACACACACACACACACACACACACACACACACACACACACACACACACACACACACACACACACACACACACACACACACACACACACACACACACACACACACACACACACACACACACACACACACACACACACACACACACACTTTTGCACCCATTAGCATTGTCCCCTCCTCTCCAGTCTCCATCCATCCTTTTCTTTAGCTCCTGTGTCCTCCCTCCCTCCCTCCCTCCCTATCCAGCTTCCCATTGGACCATCTGTCAAAGTCCTGTCGGACGTCCAGCTGCGACCAGTGTTAGTGTGTGTGTGTGTGTGTGTTGGGTGAGGGGGGATAACTTTCACTACATGCACTTGTAAAATCCATTAACAGTTAGTGGTTAACTCATTCTGTCCACTGTATTTCTATGAGATTGTAAAGCATAATACCTCCCCCCCCTCCCCCCCACTGGTGGGATGTTGTGATATTGCTCAGTCTGCTGTTTTGAGTTCTCCTTTGTTTGAATGTTTCCACCTTATGAATCTATAAAGTCAAGGTAGAAGCAAAATAGGCCATTTAATTAAATGGGCATTATTTAATGTTGGGTTAACTGATTATGCATATTAATTATAAATGAACTTAAGAATACATAATGAAATTGAAAATGTGAAATAAATGTCCATATTTGGTCATGCAGAAATAGAATGCTTTGCCACAAAACATTGAGAGCTGGATGCTGTTGTGACTTATTTGTCATTGTAGCACAGTGGTTTAAAGTAACTAACATATACTCAAGTATTGTACGTACTTGTACTTTACTTGAGTATTTCAATTGTTGCTACTTGCTACTTTACTTTTACCCCACTACAATTCAGAGGTAAATGGTGTACTTTTACTCCACTGCATGTATTTAATACCTTTAGTTACTTTACAGATGTGGATGAATGATGTGAAATATAATCAAGTGTTAAATCAGACTTTAGTTCCACCTGGAGTAAATTCACAAGCTACCCTGCAGTATACAAAGTCATTCAAACTAGCTGCACCTTTACCAGCTTTGAGAACACTTTAATGATCAATCATTATAAAACATATCATATATATTATTCTGAAATGGACCAATCTGCACAATGACTACTTTTACTTTTGGTACTTTAACTATATTTTGATGCTAATACTTTTTCTACTTTTACTTGAGTAACATTTTGATTGCAGGACTTTTACTGTAACAGAGTATTCCTACACTCTACTTCTACTTTTAGTACAGGATCTGAGTACTTCTCCCAGCTCTGTTGTGGCAGCGTTGTTAAGAAAATGGACATCCAAAAAGGGCAATTTGAGTTGAGCAATGCCGTACCATGCAGAGCAAATGTGTTTCTCTCTATCCATTATTTCTGTGTCTCCGGCTCAAATAACTGGGTTGGGACTGGGGGGTGTAAGGAGGAGGTTGTGGTGGGCTTTCTGCAGCAGCGCTGAGATTAACAAGTGGCTGAAGGTATGCTACCATTGTTGTAGTGGCACATGTGTGAGTGGTATGTAACAGTTGGTTATCGGTATGACCCACACATTTAGACTGAATGCCAAATGGGGTCAATCCCAGAGAGAACAGCAACAGGATAATATCATCAATAAAAGAATCAGCCACCGCGTAAAAAGAGCAGCAGTGGATGTTTCCTGTACTTCCACACGTCCATACAGAGGGCTTGACAGGATCAGACTGAAAGACTTGGTTACTTAAAAAGAAGTGGACTCACTCACCTCAAGTGCATTGTTGATTGTCAGCAGTATTGGGAGAAGTACTCAGATTCTAAGTAAAAAGCAAAGTGCATATTTCAAAAATGTTCTTGAGTAAAAGTACTCATTCTGCACAATGACCCATTTGAGAATGATAAGGTACTCAGTATTATCAGCTTAATGTACTTCAAGTATCAAAGGTAAAAGTACTAGTTGCAGAAGGGATATTTTCACAGTGTTAAGCACCTTGAGATGACGTTGTTTTTAAAGTGTGCTATATAAATCAAATGTATTATTATTATTATTATTATATTATCGTGGTTATTTCTTTATCCCGATTTTATTAATGTAAGAGCATTTTAGAGATGTAGTCTGTCAATGTGGACCAAATTGAAATACTTGAAATACTTAGTAGATTAGTACTACAGTACTGCAGTATACTGTTTCAGCATATCCTATGTTTTTATATGTACAAAAGTAAATAGTAACTGTGAGTGTTCAAATAAATGAATTGGAGTAAAAAGTACAATATTTGTCTCTGAAATAAGAAGTATAAAGTAGCAATACATGGAAATACTTAAGTAAAGTACAAACAAAGTACTTAAGTAAATGTACTTAGTTACTTTCCACCACTGCCTGTCAGAATGTATTTTCCGCAAAAGTCATATGTTTTCATATAAAATAAAAGCATATCTCTGTCTTTTGATGTAGTGATGTTAGCAGTGATGTTAGCAGCCTGGCTAACCGGTCGTTACGTCAGATGACACACTTTGATCAGCTTAAAGCGGGACATCATTGTTTTTAAGATATTTCAGTAAATCAGACAAGAAACAAACCTCTTGTCCGTGTTAAATGTTATAGTTTCTCATTTTGGCTCATTCTTATTGAGATCAGAAGGCTGATCTCGATCACCTGCCTGTGCATTAAGAGCTGTAGTCTATCTGGCATCAATTCTAGCAAATATGGAAAACAGCTAGTCCAAAGTTCAAAAATATACCCATCCACAACTCTAAAGCTCACCTTTTAACACCTGAGTTATTTAGTTGAATCTGGATAACGAATGGTAACAGTACAATTTGTGATTATAGTTAGGCGCTGTAACCATTTATTGAAAAAAGATTTTTACAAACAGCATAAGCTTGACAGTTGACCAAAATCAAACAATGTACTTTCATGAGAACTATTGTTTTCAAACCAACTACACCTTGGCACTGTATCACAGAATGAAGCATGCATCTACTCATGGACAAAACCCTAACCTGAGCAAGCTAAACCGAGGAGCAACATGCTCTGGGGATTATC